GAAAACATTCCCTGCTTGTAGTATCTCCCCCAACCCCATCATTTTATTTTTGAAAATATGTGTAAGAAAACTTCCAGATCATTTAATTGGCTCATTATGTATTAATCTACCTTTAAGAGATGGTGTGGCCTATCTGAGAATTCTGGGTCATACTAGAGATAATTCGGGGTATGAGTGTATGTTATTCCATCTGTGATAGAGGTATAGACAGCACTTACCAATGAACTGCTGTATTGCATGTTATCTATTTGATTTTTTATCTGGTATGTCTTGTTCTGTAGTAATATATATTTGATGTTACATGTCACACTTAAAGACCCAGTTTTAATAATTTCTTACAGCAACTCACCTGTGAGACCATTTTAGACCATTTTGTTGCTGTCTAATCCAACTGCATCTCTTGAATTCTTGTTAATGTTTCATCAGTGGTATTTAAAAAGTGCTCTGTAGACATTAAATTTAGAGAACAGTGAAATGATTCATAAAATGACCACATTAAAAAAACACAACTCTTTAGTTGTATTTTTACCAGTAGTTATGTATATCTAAATGTACGTGGATATTTAATGATTTTTTTTAAGACTTTAAGTAATCTCTATGCCGCATGTGGGGCTTGAACTTAGAAACCCGAGATCCAGTTGCATGCTCCACTGACTAAGCTGGCCAGGAGCCCCATTTGAAATGTTTTGATATGTGCAGTGCAGTGCAGTGGCATTAAGAGCATTTACATTGTGCAGCCATCACTACCTTCCATCTCCGAGCTTTTTCATCTTCCCAAACTGCGACTGTGTACCCGTTAAACAATAACTCCCCTTTTCCTCCCTCCCCACAGCTTCCAGAAACCACTATTCTACTTTCTGTCTCTATGAATTTGCCTACTCTAGGTACATGATATAAGTGGAATCATACAGTATTTGTCCTTTTGTGTCTGGCTTATTTCACTTAGCTGAATGTTTTCAAGTCCTACCCATGTTGTAGCGTGTTGCTACCACTTTAAAAAAAAATTTTTTTTTATTTAAATTCAATTTAGTTAACAAAATGTATTATTAGTTTCAGGGGTAGAATTTAGTGATTCATCAGTTGCATAAAACACCCAGTGCTCATCACATCAAGTGTCCTCCCCAGTGTCCATCACCCAGTTACCCCATCCCCCCACCCACTTCCCCTCCAGCGATCTTAGTTTGTTCCCTGTAGTGAAGAGTCTCTTCGGTTTGCCTCCCTGTTTTTATCTTACTTTATTTTTCCTTCCCTTCTCCTATCTTCATCTGTTTTGTTTCTTAAATTCCACATGTGAGTGAAATCATATGGTATTTGTCTTTCTCTGACTTATTTCACTTAGCATAATACTCTCTCGTTTCATCCACGTCGTTGCAAATGGCAACATTTCATTCTTTTGATGGCTGAGTAATATTCCATTGTATATATGCACCACATCTTTTTTATCCATTCATCTGTTGATGGACATCTGGGCTCTTTCCATTTTTTGGCAGTTGTGGACATTGCTGCTATAAACATTGGGGTGCACGTGCCCCTTTGAATCACTGTTTTTGTATCCTTTGGATAAATACCTAGTAGCAGCAATTGCTAGGTCTTAGGGTAGTTCTATTTTTAACTTTTTGAGGAACCTCAAAACTGTTTTCCAGAGTGGCTGCACCAATTTGCATTCCCACCAACAGTGTAAGAGGGTTCCCCTTTCTCTGCATCCTCACCAACATCTGTCATTTTCCTGACTTGTTATTTTTAGCTATTCTGACTGGTGTGAGGTGGTATCTCATTGTGGTTTTGATTTATATTTCCCTGATGATGAGTGATGTTGAGCATCTTCTCATGTGTCTGTTAGCCATTTGTATGTCATCTTCTGACAACTATTTTCTTAAAATCAGTTTTAGTACCACTTAGTAAGATTAGAGTAGGGGAGGACAATGACCTTGCCTAGCTTTCATAATTATAGCTTTTAATAAGTGAAGGCCAGAAAATTAGAGCACCGTATTTTCATATAAAAAGAAGACTATGCTGTCTTCTCTGTGGTAAATTCTTCAAGTCTTTGAAACTCTAAGACTAATCTTGATTATATATATTAATTGTACTTCTATTTTGGGTCCAGAAAACATATTCAGAAAGTTTGTCATCTAAATGGTTATAATGGTTCTATGAACAAACAACACTTTACTGGAAATGTAGCATTAGCAATGTTAGTAACATCTTGTGAGGTTTCTTTATCCACAGAATAATGTGGATAAAATCCAGAGATTTTATCAAAATCCACAGATTCTGTTAAAAATCTAATTTCAGTGAGCACTCAGTATGTGCCAGGCACTGTGGTAAGTGCTTTACCTATATTTAAAAAAAAAAAAAATTAAGTGGCTTTGAAAGTTGATATTATCCTATAATTTTGTATTTGGAACATGAACTGTTTGGGTTAAAAATCTTCATGCAAATTCCTACAAACAAATTGAGTGTGGATGTGCAGTGGGTGGTTTTTAAGCTTAAATATCTCAGCTGGATTTAATTACCTTAAGGGATAAGGCTACATGATGGGCCAGTGGCTTACCAAATTATTTTTCATTTTCTGGATCTTGATGTCACTAAAGGTTAATGCATCCTCTTTTCTCTGTTAGAGACCCGAGTTAAAATCCATTTTAGAGCATAAGTGTAAATGAATTTGTTGTTGTTTTTCCTCCTTGGGGACACAGTGGTCATTTTGTGCGGCTGCTTTTCCATTTGGAATCATTGGCAGCTTGCTTGAGGCCCAGGGGCTCTTGTCCCATGGGCAGTTGCAAGTCAGCATGAAAATGAACCGGCAGGCTGCAGGGGGCAGAGCTGGCCTAGGGCTTGTCACTTTTTCATGCCTTGATTCTTTCTTGGTTAACTTAAAGAAACTTATTTGCTACTGACATTTGATCATAGCACATCACAAAACAGGTGATGTGTTTGTGGGTAAGCCATTGCATTTTCCTACTTGTCTAAGGCCAGTTTGTATTTGGCAGCTGCAGGCTTTCTGTATTCGCTGTCCACGTGCTCCCAAATGACCTTGTATACTGGTGTGGGTCTGTGGTCAACCCTCTGGATTGTTGGTATGTTTCGTGGCTTTTATTATTTATTGCTTTCATATACATGCTGTACTTTTTAGGAGCATATTTATATCACTAATTACATTTATTGTTTTTACCCTGAAGTATTATTTGTTATTGCCTTTATCTGTACCTTTTAGGAATATTTACAAGTATAACCTAAGTAGGGAATGGTCATAGCATAGGAGTCCCTTTGGGGAGCTTGGTAGGGCTCTTTTCCCTCTGAGTTCAGCTGGTAGTCCTCTTTTCTTTTTATAACTACTACTACTACCAGGACTATTATTATTACATTCTTTGTGTTTCTCTCTTGCTTTTATTTTTCTCCTAAGGAATAGTACCTAGAGTATACTCTTCTCATTGTTATTTTCTTTAAAAAAAAAAAATAGATCTTGGGGTGCCTGGGTAACTCAGTTAGGCGTCCATCTATTGATCTCAGCTCAGGTATTGATCTCAGGAATGTGAGTTCAAGCCCCATGTTGGGCTCCACACTGGGTGTGGAGCCTACTTTAAAAAATATATATATATCGGGCGCCTGGGTGGCTCAGTTGGTTGAGCGACTGCCTTCGGCTCAGGTCATGATCCTGGAGTCCCGGGATCGAGTCCCACATCAGGCTCCCTGCTCAGCAGGGAGTCTGCTTCTCCCTCTGACCCTCCTCCCTCTCATGCTCTCTGTCTCTCATTCTCTCTCTCGCGAATAAATAAAATCTTAAAAAAAAAAAATTAAAAAAAAAATATATATCTTTACAGAAAGACAAATAGAATCTTTACATACATGGATAAATGGGATCATGTAATACATAATTTTTTTTCCTTTTTGGTTATTGCTTTCTTTCTTTTTTTTTAAAAGATTTATTTATTTATTTATTTGACAGAGACACAGCGAAAGAGGGAACACAAGCAGGAGGGTGGGAGAGGGGGAAGCAGGCTTCCCGCCAAGCAGGGAGCCTGATGCGGGGCTCGATCCCAGGACCCTGGGATCATGACCTGAGCCGAAGGCAGACGCTTAACGACTGAGCCCCCCAGGCGCCCCTGGTTATTGCTTTCAAAGTGAGTTGTCCCAGGCTCGCTGAATTCTTCATCTTCATTTGTTGCAGGCATTCCTACACCATTTTTATTCATCCAGTCTTTTTTGTCTTAAAATCTCCCGAATTGCACTTTACACCAGGAGTATTTCCCTCTCCATAGTTTATCTCCTGTTCACCATTCATATCCCATTTCTTTTGTCGAACTGGATCAGGCCAAGGAGAGGTGAGGGCTGCTATTTTCTCCTTACAGCATTTATGTAAAACATGCATTTCCCTCTGTGTATGCGTATATGAGAAAGAGCGAGAGAGATACATATCTAACTATATGTAGACATGCAGGTAGACTTAGGCTAACCAAGCTCTGACTCATGGTCACCATGAGAATTATTTAAAAATTTATGTAGTGTGCTTTTATTTCGTCTTAGTCTTAAAAAGCTAAATTTGATTAAAAGCTGATTTAAATCATTAGTATGTGGACTTCTTGTGAGAATATGAATGATACAATTTAATTGGGAAGGTCATTTGACTTGTATCTGTTAATAAGCAGTGTGTGGGGGAATAAATAATATGTACAGCTTTACGGTGCTTTAGATGCCTTCACGTTTATCAAGATTGTTTTCTTCGGCATTATTTCTCTTTAGATGTTAGACCCTTCAAAGGCAGAACTAGGCCTATCCACATTATACTCTTCAAAGTCTGATGTATGTTGATAAGGTTCTCATAAACTCTCTTTTGACCATATCTTTTAAAAATAAGGTCATATGTTTTTATAAAATAAACTCTCCTATTTAAAGTCACAAAGTCTCATAAAAGAAGGTCTCAAATAAAAGTAGTCTCCTGTTTCTAATATTGCTCAGTTATGTAGTTGTCCTATTAATCTTTTTTTTTTTTTTCTCCTTTTCAGGTGTCAGCAGTCGAGTCCTTGGAGGGCCCCCTGCTCCAGGTGGAAGGACTGAGTGACCTTAGGTTGGAGCTTCACAGTAAGAAGATGAACCTCCACTTGGTGCTCATAGATGAACTTCATCGGCACCTCTACATCAAATCCACAAGCCGAGTTGTGCAGCGTAACAAGGAGAAAGGGAGAGTGAGGTTGGTTAAAGAGGCTCTTGGCTACAGTGTCTTGTGGCAGTGGAGAATTTTAAGGATTATTATTTGTTTCCCAAAATACTGTTGCCGTTTATTTACTTCTTGCTTTTTTTTTTTTTTTTTACTTTTTAACATGCTGTCCCTGAAACTATAAGACGGTTTTATAATAGCAAATACTCCATGTTCTGAAAGGCTGACATCCAAAGTTTCTTCATTCCTTCGTTGCACATTTATTATGATCCTTTTATGTAAAGATAAGAAACATCTACTATGGGCCTTTATACTAGATCAGAGATACTCTGGCATACCTCAGAAGGAAGAGAAAAAGATCCTTAAGTTGTATAGTACAGTCAGCATAATGAAGAAAAAAAGTGTCTGAACTGAAGTTAAAAGATTCTTTGTTCCTTAGGGTTGTGTTCAGCTTTTTTTTTTTTTTTTTTTTTTAAGATTTTATTTATTTATTTGAGAGAGAGAGTGAGAGAGAGAAAGAGCACAAGAGGGGGGAGCGGGAGAGGGAGAAGCAGACTCCCTGCTGAGCAGGTAGCCCGATGCGGGACTCGATCCCGGGACTCCAGGATCATGACCTGAGCCGAAGGCAGTCGCTTAACCAACTGAGCCACCCAGGCGCCCGGGTTGTGTTCAGCTTTAGACAATGTTCATTCTGGAATAGTTCAGGAGAGCTTCAGAGAAAACACTTTTATCCCTGGACTGATCGTAGCATAGGCCTATACTTAAGGGCCTGGGTGTGGACTCAAGAAATTCATTAGGTTAGTCTAGACCAGGTAGGGAGTAAGACTAGATCTTAAGACCGTTAAGACAGTAGAATACTAACATTATTGACATGTATCAGATAGCTGTGCATGTCCTAGTCTTTCCAGCATGCCTTTAAAATAGCCATAAGATCTTTTCAGAGGGTAGTTTTAGCAGTATCTGCCAAAATGCATGTGCTCATACTTTTTCATCTAGCTACGGACAAGAGGAGTGCTGGAAGCAGAGCATGCTGGGAATGAAGTCTTTGAAGTCCTATCCTGTTCAGACAGAAATTGCCAACTCTGTGCGTGATGCTTCAATTCAGTCCAAGACCCTGACAGAGAAGTTTCTATCTCTTTTCTGCATATGGGCACTAGAAAATCTTCTGCTGGGCACACAAATTGGGCTATGTATCTGAGACTTAACTTCAACACTGGATCTGGATAGAATGTTAGTTCCTTAGTGGAGAGTAGTGTTAGGTGGGGGCCAGTGCCCTACTCTCACCATGCCTGCAGTTGCTGGATTTTTCAGTGATCTCTAAATGTCCCTGCATCTGTCCTTATCCCCTCAAGATTCAGAGTCCTTGGTGGAAGCATCCAGTTTGTTGAGCCTGAGACATGTCTGGCCTCCTTCAACTTTTATAGTAGGAAGTTAGGCCCTCTTTTTTGCTTTGACCCAGACAGTGGAGGGTCTCTCCAAATACAAAGACTGTTCGAGTTGTTGGTATCCAAAAATAAATACACAAACACCCAACAAATTTCTACTGTGGGAGAAAACAAAAAATCACATGAAGGCACATACATAAAAAGAATAGATTTTTTTTTTTAAGATTTTATTTATTTGTTTGAGAGAGAGGCACAGCATGAGTGAGGGGAGGGGCAGAGGCAGAGGGAGAAGCAGACCCCCTGGTGAGCAGGGAGCCCGATGTGGGGCTCGATCCCAGGACCCGAGATCATGACCTGAGCCGAAGGCAGACGTTTAACTGACTGAGTGACCCAGGCGCCCCAAGAACAGATATTTTTGAAGTAGAAACAGACAACTAGTAGATATAATAAGAGAGAGTTACATGGCTACATGGAAAAAATAATAAAAATGGTATTTGGAGGATATGAAACAAGACCTAAATAAATGAGGAGACCTTCCATGTTCTTAAAGAGACCAGTCCCAGTTATAGCCCAGTTGGGTTTTTTGAAATTGTCAGATCTGTAGTTCACATAGAAGAATAAATGAATAAGAATTATTTAAAAATATTGGAGAAAAATAATAAGGCCTTTCTTATCTAATATTAAAATACTATTTTAAAACTAATCGAAACAGTACAGGTATGCAATAGAAAATCAGATTGCTATAGCAAAACAGAATTTAGAAACAGATGCAGGATATATGGGACTTCAGTAATTTTAAACAATAATCCAAGTAAGTAGAGGGAATGAAGCCTATTTAGAAATTAGTGTTGAGACATTTGGCTAAAGAAAGTAAATTTAGATGCTTACCTATTACTATATGCAAAAAATACTAATTCAGTTTAAAAATAACATGATAAAACTTAACTAGCATTAGAAAAAATTAAGAGAATGTGTGTAGAAGAGGCTTTGTAGGCCCATATCCTACAAATATAGTACTGTATCATAAAAATATATGTAACAGGATATTCACTGGAACATTGTTGATAAAAACAACAAAAATACACAACTTAGATGTTTATCAAGAGGCGTATAGTTAAATGAATTATGGCATATCCGTGGTATATAATTCTTAAATGAAGAGAAAGATGTCTTTGTTCTGATAGGGAAATATTGCCTTTTTTTTTTTTTTTAAAGATTTTATTTATTTATTCATAAGAGACAGGGGAGGGCAGAGGGAGAAGCAGGCTCCCTGCTCAGCAGGGACTCGATGGAGGGACTTGATCCCAGGACCCTGGGATCATGACCTGAGCTGAAGGCAGATGCTTAGCCATCTGAGCCACCCAGGCGCCCAATAGGGAAAGATTTCTAATATATATTCTTGGGTCCAAAAAAAGCCACTTGAAAAACAGTATATACAGGATGAACGTACTTGTGTAAGAATTGAGAGGATATGTATTTAAAAATGTATCCTTTATATGTAGACATAAATGTTTGTGTGTTTATAGAAAATTCCTGGAAAGATAGTGCTGACACTGTTAAAAGGAATTACCTATGAGAAATGGAAATGGTGGGTGGGAAATAGGAAAGAAGGACTTAGGACTGTGAATGTATTCATCATGAGCATATATTGTTACTTTAATAGTAATACAATTATTGATGATGCTTTTGAATATTATTTTTATTTTTTAAAAAGATTTATTTATTTTAGAGAGAGGGGGGATGGGAGAGGCAGAGGGAGAGGGCGAGAGAAATTCTAGGCAGATCCCCCACTAAGCATGGAGCCAGACAGAGAGCTCAATCTCACAACCCTGAGATCACAACCTGAATTGAAACCAAGAGTCGGATGCTTAACCGACTGAGCCATCCTGAAGATTATTTTTAATGAAATGGCAAAATGCTTACTACTGACATGAAAACCTAGGATTTAAAATTCTATATAGGATCCAAATAGTGTTGAAAAAGAAAGTGCGTACATTTTTGTATGTATGTGTATGTGCAGGGGGGCAGGGATGGATAGACAGACTCTTTTCTGTCAAATGTTTTGAAAGGCACTACGTTATAATTATATTAGTAGATTATTTTTATTTTCTTAATATTTTTTAAAAACCTACAATACCTTTATAAGTTGATAAAATCAATAAAAAGTTATTTTAAGTACATCCTTTTACTTCATGCATCCTGGGTTAATACTTGATTTGACCTTGTTTCCTTGGATGCTCTTTTGCTCATGAAGGAGAAAGTTTCAGCCGCATGGATTTTGGTGTCCATATTTGTCTGGGGGCGGGGGCATAAAGATCGTCCCTGACCCTGTTGTGTTATTTGTTCCCTATTTTGTCTTCTAAAGTTTTTTCTTTTTGTGTCTGTTTTCTTTTCATCTTTCAGTTCTTTTTCTCTTCTTTTTTCCTCTTTGCCTAGATTTTAGTTTCACTTTATTTTGTATTACATGTCTTCACTCTTGATCTGTCATTTGAGACCATGACTGTTTTTGACTTTTAGACCCTCTAAATCATTCATTTTTCTTTCTGTATGTTCAGGCTGATCTTAGAACGATAGAGAATTACTTTGCCAGCCATTCCTGTTTCATTATTCAGTTAAATTTTCTTAGTAAGGGCATATTATCTTTGACAGCTATTTCTCAGCTCAGTTTGATTTAACAAACTTCTATGAACATTTGCTCTTTGCCAGGTACTGTGCCAGCTGTGGGGGTTATAGAGGTGAGTCTGTTCATTACTAGATATACAACTTAAAGTTCATCTCACCTCTGGCAAGGTTTAGTTTCACAATAAAATCAGCCAAGGGAGCTGCCCCTGTCAATTTTGGACATATTATTATTATTATTTTAAATTTTATTTTATTATGTTATGTTTGGACATATTAAGTGAAGGAACAGAAATGAGTTCTAATTAAAAAGCAGATGTTTAATAAGCTGTTAGTACTTCTAACCCTTCTTAAAACCGCCCCCACAAAACCCAAACCTTTCGTGGCTATTGAAGTCAAACGCATAGAGGTAGATCTTTACTAGATGGATGGATAGTTAATGGCCAAAAAGTCCTTAGGGTTATGGTGGTAGGGGTTGTTTTTGGTATAATTTGCTTTACAGTTTTCCTGTCTGCCACCCTGTGATTAGTAAATAGCAAACCACATTCAATCGCAGTAAGCGATTAGTAATTTTGGGGGGACTATCTTATGCCGGAAAGTATTTTATGTACGTCACAGCTGTCTTTTACAACTTAGCTATGAATGACTAAATGGATTTAAAATAAAAATTTGTAATCAGAGATATTTAAAAAAAACAATACTTTGTACCAATGTTTCTTTCAAAATAAAGCAGTTCAGTGCATTCAAATTAATTACAAACTTGATAAGAACAGTCTAATTTTGATTTTATTTTTTGCTTTCAAAATTACTTCCTCAGAGATATTCAGAACCCTTTGCAGGTACTCATACGTGCCCAACTTTATTTCTTCAGAAATGGAAACGGACGCACACACTATTTAAATGCAGTATTCTGTAGTAGCACCTACCTTTCTGTTGAGCTTCATGTCTGTCATAACTAAATGAGTGGGTGTGCCTACTTTCTCTTGAACTCTTGAGACTAATTCCTTTCATAACAGAACAACAGAAACACCAAAAGTCATTTCCAGAGTTACTTGCCTTTGGGTTAGTGTTCACAAAGGAGAAAATTGAAGCCCAGGGGAAAATTTTAGAGAGATGAGTCTATGAAAATAGTCTTGCAGTAAATTGACTTTCTAAAAGTTTATTGATGGAGTGTAAAGGCCCTCTGGCTCTGGTAATAAAGTCAGTAGGTTATGTTTTTCAAAGTTAAAATGGCAAGACATTTATCACCCCGTATTTAACTGAAACATACTTTTAGGTTAAAATTGAGAAAATAATTATAGGTTTCAATCTAAAGTGAAGCTTGTGCACATCTGTGTTTATAGAAGTGTGTGTTATACTCACAGAAATACACATATCACTACACACAAATATGTACTCATGGTATGACTTCATTTGTAAGCATGGCACACTTGCTCCTATATACACCTGAACTTCCCTGTTAATTGTTACCTTCATCTATCAATGCTTTAAAAATGACTTCTCCATTTTTGTTATGGAAATATTTATGAAACATACTCTATATTTTCTCTATCATTTAGAATGGAAATGAACTGTTTTTTTTGTTTTATAATTTTTTATTATGTTATGTTAGTCACCATACAGTACACCATTAGTTTTTGATGTAGTGTTCCACGATTCATTGTTTGCCTATAACACGCAGTGCTCCGTGCAGAACGTGCCCTCCTTAGTACCCATCACCGGGCTAACCCATCCCCCCCACCGCCGTCCCCTGAACTTTTTCTTAATAGTGAGTAGCAGCGCTGTAAACATCCGTGATGATCCTCTGTCTCTTTGGGTTTGTGAATCTAGGCTAGAGATGTGTATGGAGCCAGTTTTGCAGTTGTGAGTAACATGCAGGTCAGAGGATGAGGTGAGGTAGTCGAGGGAAAACCGGAGATGAGAGCAGTAGTCAATATGTAAAAGATGACTGGATAAATCTGTAATCTTATTGATTTATAGACAAATCAGTAGACAAACTATTGTGACAAATCAGTGGATTTGAAGGCTCTGTTTCTTAAGATAGTTTATGGGTAAATAGGAACTAAACAGCCTTATATTGGAAGAAAAGAATTATGGGAACTCTGTCAGTTTAATTCCAGGTAAGTGTTATTTTTGTTACTTTTATATCTTATACTTGAGGTTTCGCATGAGTCTGCAAGTGATTCCAACAGTTGGAAATAGGCTGTTTGGTTTCGCTCGTATCGCAGTCATACTTGCATCCTCAGCACTGAGCCCTGTGCCAGACACGTCGATGCTGCAGACTTGTTTGAGTCGTGATTCCTTCTTCCCTGTAGTAAATGAGAAGGGGGACCTTAGTAACTGTCCGTTATCCTCAAGGCCTGGGACAATAGCTCACATGTTATTGGTACTTGATAAAAATAAACCTTAATTTTGCCACCACTGAGAAAAGCATCCAGTTCACAGCAAGCACCGACATATGTTATCTAGAGGCTGCCACAAACCTAATGTTTCCAAAGGCAAAGGGAGCAAATCATCCGTGGCTAGAAGTTCAGTCCCGGTTCGCAGTGGAAGCTGGGCTGGAAAGGTTTTTGGGTTCAACGATGGCTGAAGTGGAGAGCAGAAGAAGGAAAGGCTGGTCCAGAAGGCAGACTTAGGAAGGAATGAGGCTAAAAGGATTGTTTTCTGGCATTTTGAAATTTTCTAAATGTAAACATTCCATATGCAAATAAACTCTGCTTCATGTAAAAAAAAACAACAACCTTAATTGATGATTTTGCCTTTCACGTAAGTTTCTTTTTCAGGTTTCTGAAAGAACATGCATACGTTTATTAGGTTAAAAATACACACGTACCTAGCACTGTGGATCCAAAAGGAGTGGTGGGAGGGAGATGGGGTATGTCACTGTGGGATGTGTGGATGCAGATGTTCACAGTGCACACGTCTTTCCCATTTGGAGAAAGCTTTCCTTAAGGTGTAGTCTTGTCCCCGCTTCCCCCACTGTGCCTGCCCTCCCTTTATAACCCACTGTGAGGATCGCATCTGTGGTCAGCCACTGCTACTAATGATGGCGGTGGGACTGGGAAGAGGCGAGAACTATGGCTTTGACCAGTCTACCCTTGGAACTTAGAGAAGCTTTTCTGTTTTAGATGCAGTGTGATTAGATGATTTTGTTTGTTTGTTTGTTTCTTTTTTAAGTTTATTTTTTTTTAGTAATCTCTGTACCTGACATGAGGCTCGAACTTTTGGCCCCAAGATCAAGAGTCCCATGCTCTTCCGACTGAGCCAGCCAGGCACCCCGTAGATGATTCAGTTTCTTGAGAGTAGAGCATAAGTTTGACTTGCCTTGGAATTGCCTACTTCTTTCACTTAACAGATGGCTATAAATGCGAATTAACTTGAAAATTTAATTGTTTTTTATAGTCTTTGTGCCATTTAAAATTAATGTGTTTATTCTGGAGATGATAAAGTTAATCATTAAGATGAGATACCTTTACGGAAAAGGTGAAATGGGTCATCAAATACTGAATTAACCTGTTTGAGTTCCTTAAATCATCTTTTATTGTCATGATTCTCAACTTCGTGAAATTTATGAACCTCTTTTAAAGAAAACTAAATGTAGTGAACTCCCAGACTATATCAAAAACTCCAGCTTGAAAAACACAAGCTAAACAAGGCTTAACTACTTAAACCTTCTTTCAGTTATCATGATATGGTGACATTTGATCTTTCTTTGCTAATAAATTAATTTTAACATAGGAACAGAGGAGGGTACTGAAATTGCATGGCATAATTTGGTGGTAAGGTAGTCTTCCAGATGATCCAGGATCTATTTACGCTGATGTTTTTAGACCCAGCTAGCATTGAAATAAAGATAAAAATTTGAAAACTTGGAACCCTTAGGCTACATCTTTGTACCCCTCTCTGTACAGTCACCACTGGAAATACACTTGGAAAACACTTGCAATCACAGTGTACAAAGGGCTCATGCCAAAACGAAAGTGATAAGGGATGGGCAGGTAGTGGGACTTCAGCTGGTTTTGGAGAAAGTGGTAACTACCTACCTTTCCCTTTCAGCTCCCTTATAAAAGATGCTTCTCCTGTTCCTCTGATTGATGTTACAAACCTTCCTACTCCTCGAAAATTCCTTGATACCTCTCAGTTTTCTACTCCTGGAAGCTCAAGTGGTAAGTATTTAATTCTTAAGCCACTCACCTTCTTTTCATAATGTTGTAGTTCCTCAGCAAAGACCTGGGGAAATCTGGGGGGTCAGGGCTGGGAGGTCCTGAGGTTAGTGCCTTGGAGCCTCTGATGAGCTCTGTGCCACCCTCAGAGGGAATAAGAAGATGACTGGTTGGGCCTGTTGCATTATCAGCTTTTAAACTGGCAGCTGAATCTGGCCTGCCTCCTGAATCCAGATGTAGTTACGCTTTATTTGATCAGAATTGTTGGTTTTTCTGAAGTTGAATTTGAATGCTTTTTGATGCAGAGAGTCTCTCCCCGCCCCCCCCCCTCTTGTTTCTGTAGCTGCGGTACATGTTACATGCTCTGTCTGGTGCTTGAGAGCTTCTGAGTGTGTGCTCTAGATCCTGTGTCCTCTACACGGATACCTTGTATCTTCCAGCGCCGTCCCCACTTACACATGTGCCCGCATGTGGGTGTGCGCATGCACACATACAATGTACTTTGAGATCATATCCACAGACTAGCCATGTTTCTTCTTGGGCTACATAGTGTTCTGTTGAATAAGAGCCATTTTGGCCTACATTTAAAGTTGGAGAGGGAGGGTATGCTTTGAATCTGAACGCAGATTTAGGGGATTTCTTCAGGAATGGCTCAGACTGGCTGTCAGAGGGTTCAGCTGAACTTGGCTCAGATTGTCCCTGGGCCTCTGCAAAGAGCCTTCAACTATTGCAGCGCTGGGTTGAGGAGAAGGCGATGGGATGTTTTTCCTGAGAGGACCCATAGGTGCCTTTGTGTCACAGCTAAAGTCCTCAGTACCTTTTAAGGAATGAGTAATGTTGATTATCGTTGGCTTCGCAGGTATAAATTAGTTCTTACAGTTCTTTTCTAGTTCTATAGTCCTGTAGAGCTTGAAATAATGAAAAAGTGGAAAGGTAGAAAAATAATTTGGAGTCAATGAATACATTTTGTGTACCTAGTTGAAAGTGTTTCTTTTGAGAGCCTCACTATATATTGTTGTTGCTGAGGCACATTTAATTATTTTATAATATCATTTAATTAAGTTTAAGGGTTACTTAGGCTTGGAATCTTGAGGTTTATTGCTTTTACTATAGGAAAAGTGTAGAAATTATTTTGTAATAGATTTTATTGTTAGTCTATTTAATGATTCAAAAAACCCCACAAAAACAAAATACTCAGAACACTTATGTTTATTATGACACTTTATAAGGTTTGTACTCAAGCCTCTTCCTGGAGCTAAAAAGTTTGCTTTGTCCTTCTTGCTGACGTAGTGTTGCGATTCTTCGAGCTGTTGTAGAGTGTGGAAGTATGAAACACCATTTATATTTATACTTTGTAATTCACCTCTTCCTCCAGGAGAAATTATCAATTGTTATATCTTCATGATTTTACAGCGTGAGCCATCATCGTTGCTTACCTTCGTTATAGCAATTTAAGTAAATGTTGCCGAGTCAATGGCCAAGTGAAATAAAAATTTTAATTGTTTATGAAGAAATGATAGGGCAGGCGTTTTGCAAATGAAAAGCACTGTGTAAATGCCAAGTAAGTTGAAAAAATGCCAATTATGGCAAATTTCAGTAGAAACTAATTTTGCTACATCTATTATTTTTAATAAGACAGCTTACTCTTTGATGGGCACTTCTGTCAGGCCCTGTAGTTAGCATTTCTCACTTCGTGGAGTTCACGGTGACACTTTGCCTTTGGCAGTCTGTTCCTTCATTATTGGGGATGACTCTTGAAGAGCCATGTGATAGTTGAGTAGAGGTGGGACCATCATGGGGACTGCTTGTACATAAGCTACAAACCTTTCTTTTTAGAAGGGCTCATTTCTTTGACTGTTTAAGACTGTTGATCTCGTGATTTTTCTGTGGGTGACCGAAAGAGATGGTTGAAATATTACTGATTGAAATGCAGTAGGTAAGGTGTGTTTCATGCCTACCATATGTAAAACAGTATTTTAAGTGCTTCGCATGAATTAGCTCAGTCCTTTAACAATCTTTGTAGGTAGGTACTATTCTAATAGCTCCATTTTACAGATGAGAAAGCTGGGGCCTAGGAGGGGTTAATAATTGGTTTAAGTTGTCACAGCTGACAAGGAGTAGAGCTGTCATTTCAAGTAAGGAGCTGGGTTCCAGAATGCACTCTTCTAACCAGTTTTTTTTTTCCTGCAAAAAAGCTAGGTATGCTCTGGGTTATTAGTTTTCTCTTGTTGCCACAACAAATTGTGATAATGTAAATTTATCATCTTACAGTTTTATAGGTTAGAAGTCCAGTATGGGTCTGATTGGGCTAAAATCAAGGTGTTGGCATGGCCGTGTTCCTTCTGGAGGCTCTACAGGAGAGTTCATTTCCTTGCCTTTCACAGCTCCTAGGGGCTGCTACTTTTCCAGATTGTTGCCCTCTTCCTCTGTCTTCAAAACCAGCGACAGTGTGTCACATCCTTCTGGGGTCACATCTCTCTGACCCACCCTTCTGCCGCCTCCTTCCTCTTTTAAGGACTCGTGTGATTAGATTGATGCCACCTGGGTAATTCAGGATACTCTGCCAGTTTAAGGTCCTTAACCTTAGTCACATCTGTGAAGTCTCCTTTGACATGTGACATATTCACAGAGTCTGGGGATTAGGACATGGATATCTTTTGGGGACCGTCATTCTGCTTACCATATTCTGTAGTGCCTATTTTCTGACTTGAGTTATCTTGAGGAGCCAATATATAAAATTTTGACTTTCTTGAAATTATGTGTGAAGTCTTTTTAAATCATTGCAGTTCCAGTCTTAAGAACTATATTAATCTGGGTCACATTATTAAAGGGGGTTGTGTAAATGTGGAAGATGTAAATTATGTAGAGAACTGCATAAATGTTACTAAGTACGTATAAAAGTGAGGCTGATGAAATACACTATAAATAAAGGGCAGATATTTTCTTATTCTTAATGAACAGTAAGTCCTAAGAGTGTTTTTGTGAAGTGCCCTGCAAGTCAGCCTTGAAAGTAATAGTCATTTTCAGCCAGGAATTTAACATAGGCTTTTAAAACTCCCCTCTCATCTTGTGAAATAGTAGGATGGAGGGTGTAATCCATTAGAACTGACATTTTTATAGAGAAAGTTCAAATAGGGAATCCCCGGATAGAACAGATCTCTCATTAGGGTGCCATAAATTTAGGTTGGAGGTGATTCCTGAGGACATTGAGATTATTATTAATTAAATAAGCATTTTGATTGTTTGCAAATGAGTCATTTTTCAAATGTCTTCTTTACAGGTAGAGGTGTGAGTGACTTATCTGTGAGATTTTCTATTATAGTTTACATGTTATGGTTTGCAAGACATGTTCCATCATTCAACTGATGGCAGCAGTCCTATGAGGTAGTTATGGCAGGTACTATTGTCATTATCATGATGATTATTTTTATATCTATCCCATTTCAGTCTGTTAAATACTTAAGTTATAAAAGTACAGAACTATAGATGTGTATGCACCATCCAATTAAAAAATATTTAATTACAAAATTTAAAATCAAGGCACAGGTTGGCAGAAGCAAGAAACCCATTAAGAGAAAAATGATTAGCATCCATTTAGCTTTCCTACACATTAGTGAGGAAAAGAAATGGCATCTTAAAGAACTGGACAAATGATGGGCAGTTTACAGAAGAGTCCATATACGTGGCAAGACTGGCATTTATCCAACAGAGGTTAAGTATCCAGAATATATAAAGAACCCCTGTAAATCAATAAAACAAGTTAATAAGCAAAAATATGCAAATGTAAACTATTAAAAAATAGGCATAAACATGAATAGGCAGTTTGTGTAGTAAATATACGAAATATTGCTTATATACTCTAGTTACTAATCAGGTATTATTTTTAAAACTCACTTTATAAATATATTCCATCCACAGAGGTTGAGTGATCAGTCCAGGTCCACCAGATGGTGATTGCTGGAAGGTAGCCTCATGCTGTTCCCACTCTAAATAAGTGAGAGATGTATTTTGCCAGCCTTTCTCCTATTTCTCATCAGTCATAGTATTTTGTAATGTACAGGAAACTAATGTCTAATTTAGATGTAGTAATTCAACTATAACTTAGGTAAAAGGATGGGAGAAGTGTGGAGAAAAGCCAATAATTGTAGTAACATGTTGGTTTAAGCTTTTGGATTCCCAGTATGTCCTTTCATTTGGCAAACTGCCTTTGGAACGTTTTGACTGAGCAATTACTCCTGGGGTACACAAGCATTTCATTTGTGGCTTCTTTATTCATTTTATGCATGCTCCTGCTGGGATTGCTGTGAATATAACTATAATGAAACTGGACTTCTTACTTCCTTTCTTTTTGGTACCAGCATAGGTTAAGCAATAAAACCTAAAGAGAGCACAAATTAAATGATTTTTTTTTTCTTTTGCTGCTGTTTTCTCATGTGCATTTTATTTCATAAAATCTTGTTCTGGGACTTGATACTTTCCTTAAAAATTCAGGATTTGATATTTAAATTCTCTCTACATGGAGTGGGAGCTATGAATCCTAACATAAAAGGAGATGAAATTTTTCTTCTTGCAACTCACATGTCTAGAATAGTGAAAGTTCTCCAAAACAAGGTGATGCCTTTTGAGGTACTTCTGCCCTGAGGTTGGGGCCTCCCTTGGCATTTTAAATCACTTGTTCCGAAAAGTATCCTTCTTTTGCTGTTAAGTATCTTGGTTGATTTCTATGATTAGTCGTAAGTAGAGCTGAGGACTGTATACAAGGGAGTCAAAATGGAATTAACGGTTCAGATGTTTATAAATGTAAAAATAAAGCAAAGCCAGAGTTTGTTAGTTAAAATACATTTATTAAATATGAATATTATATTCATATATTGGAGATGAATATAACCATCATTATGTACTTTAATATTAATAAATCTTAATATTTTTCCATATTTGATTCAGATTCTTTAAAAAAAATTTACGGGTACAACTGAAGCCCCCTATGAATGCATGAATTCTTC